GGTAGATTATAAAATGAATGCATTTTTATTTTTTTGAGGAATTGTAAATGAGAGTGTATTACTTTTTTTAACTACGGAATGGGAATTGGAAATAATTTTTTTATAAATGGTATATTCCAAATACTACTGCATCCAGTAAGTTTGAGTTTTTACACTTCTTACATTATGATGAATCGTGATAGCAATAACGCTTTGTACGACAAAATTTTTGGCAAATCAAGCACTGAGTAGGGTTATTATTTAATTTAGGTTTATAAAATTTGAATTCTCAGTAAAAAATTATGTTTGATTTGAAAACATTAACTACTTGTTTAACATTAAAACTAAGTTTTTTTAGTTCATCTTTAATAAATTTTATTACTGTGGAGTGATTGAGATTTTTAAAAAGACTTTCTTATTTTAATTGATAAATATGAAAACCAACGTTTTTTTGTACTATCGCCCGTACAATTTTATGTTATGTTTCAGGAGAACTAAGACACAGTTTAAGCTCTGTAATAAACAAAATAAAGATAAAGAGGGAGGTTAGTTGTAAACAAAAAGATAATGAGATTTAGTATGGTACAAAGAAAAAGTAGTGATGAAGAGTGACCGGGTAGAGACAACAATAGGATAAAAGTGAAAAGATCTCGGGGTATGTGTGCTTACAGAAGAACGTCTGATATATGTGATAATAGGGCAACGATAGGTTACTATTCAGTTCCTGCACAAAAATATACACATAAATTTATACGAGTCGTGAATAATGTATTTCTTTGTGCAATTATTTTTGTCAGTTTATTTCCGACGACCTACCACACTCAAATTGCTTATTACTAAAAATCCTTCGGTGAAGGTATTATTATAGATTTATTATATGAATAAATATTTTTAATTATCTCTAATTATCTTGATGAGATAAATATTATGTTGCATTGAATCATGTAGTTGATCTCTATACTATCAATATGAATGTATGTTCGTGCGTCCGTGTACTTGAANTATGAATAAATATTTTTAATTATCTCTAATTATCTTGATGAGATAAATATTATGTTGCATTGAATCATGTAGTTGATCTCTACACTATCAATATGAATGTATGTTCGTGCGTCCGTGTACGTACTTGAAACTACGCGAATTTTATTATTTCATTAATTCGCGTATAACTATATTTCTAGTAAAACTCTATATTAAATCTACCCAAGGTTAAAATCGAGTTTATTATTCTCTTGGTATTTTATGTAAACCCTTTTTGTATATTTATATGGTTTGACCTTGTATGTAGTGTTTTATAATAACATATTTGTAAATTAATAATTCGAAAAACCACGAGATCATGAATAGCATTACTATCTTGTGAAAGAAAACTAATTCCAACTTGCCTGCGTCTTTTCAGTCGCCCACAGAGTGATCTAGGGTAGATGCGAGCTCAATTTAAGTCCCTTGCACAATAAATTATACTAATGTCCTACACTCCGATTGCCCGCGGGCATTCATTTCCGGAAAAACGGCTGAGATCAGACTGACTAGTGGAATAGTGGAGAGACACTGACCAAAGGCTTGACGAATTAGTATAATATTTCGACTTCAATATAATTTCGTAACTTGCTATGCTGACATGAGATTGACACGGTACCGTATGTTTTGCGATGCGCTTAATTCCTCATCTCTTTCATCGGCCGCCTTATTACATCGCGAGCCCAGCCTAATTAGAGTACCTCCGCTGCAAAGTCTATCTACTGTAGTGCTATCGACCGCGGTGAACGCTTTCTTTTGTTTTTTTCTGACGTAAGACGTGTACTTATGTAATTCACCGTCTTGCGTCTTCGAAATAAATTCTCATATATTATTCAAATAATATAAGGTTGTAGTTTTTTTTTCGGCTAGTGCCGTTTTGATAAGTGATGAATATTAAAATACGTATTTGCGTAACCATATATTACTAATTCATAAACACTAGGATTATTTGTGTTACAATATTGTTATCTATATGCAAATCGTATAGATAATGTAAATTCCATGTGTTTGAATATTGACCAAGAACTTTCATTTTTGGGAAAAAATAGCCTTTTGATATACTAACAATATTAGTTAAGCGATTTTTGGGGAAATTCTTAAGATATTTTTTGTTGCATTTGATTGGTCAATTATATAGAATCTTTTACGTGGGCGTTTACGGAATGCGAAAGAGGGTAATTGATTTTTGTGTAAGGGTATTATATATTTATTAATTTTATCTACAGAGGTATACTGATTTAGTGATATATTTTTATTAAGTACATGTATGATTTATTACAAATGCGTTACTATAACCCCGATGTTTTGATTTTAAAGGTGAATTCTTTGGAACCGATACTATTTTTAATAATTGAGTTCAGATTTTACAAATATTGAAGGTGGTTTATAAATTATGATTTTTAAATATACATTTGGCAGTTCGTTCCGTTTTCATTTTTTTTTATTAAGTATTGTATACCGGTTAAAGATTTTTACATTATTATTTTTTCTATGTTTAGGTAAAGGTAGAGGTGATGGTGAGTGTGGTCTTGACGATAACACTGAATAAACAATGTGTCCAGCAATAGAAAATGGACATCCATAATGAAAATAATTGCGCTTTTTTGATAAATTTTTATTTTGATTGAGAGATAGTAGAATATATTTTTTTATATATTACTCTCCTAATGAACAAATTATGACCAATCAATTATTATAAATAATATGGTTAAATCGTTAAAAGGTATTATAAGTATATTCGACTAATACTATGCATTCGTATAATTTTATAGATTTACGTTATATTTAATTTTAATGTTTATACAATAAGTGTTGGCTGACACAACTTATAAACATTATGACAGTTTGGACACGTTGTCATTGGTAACTTTTGTCATATTTATAACCTTTCAACAGCTGTAAAAGGACCGTATTGTACTTTTTAATCCGTGGCTACCTGACTAACGATTAAATTACATTGTTAGCGTACAGTTGATGTAATTTTTGTTTTTACGCTCTCTGATCTTTGTACTAACCGTAAAGAATGGATTCTTGAAACAGACAGCACAATTTTTATCTAGTCAAATAATATGGAAATAATTGTAAGTGATATGATTTTAGTGGTAGGTCAATCCATTTCAAATCAGTCAATGCAGTCAAATGATCATTCAAGATTTTTTGAAATTTCACACATAAGTTTCTTAGTATATACATATTTATATAAAAAAATTTAGATAANCAGGAAACGGGTATCTATTGTTCTCATTGTTACAAACAATGAGAACAATAGAAACCCGTTTCCTGACTTACTGAACACCCTGTATACATATTTATATAAAAAAATTTATGACCTTTTAAAATGTTTAAATCATAAAATACGTAAAAATACCATAGGAAACTATGTATTTATACTTTAAACGTGAACATTTCATTTCTTCATTATAAGGTCTTCAAATATTTTCAATAATTAACAGTAAGATTTATTAATTTATTTTTCAATTAATTTTCATACTAATTGTTTTTGTGAAAACCATTTTTTCAAAATTAAAATTTACAATAATATGTGATTTTTAATATTGAAGTTATTTTTACATCGCATTAACATTATGCAGTATTATAATTTTCATAATTTTTATTAAAAACTTTAGTAAAAATCAGTTCTAAAGGATCTAAAAAATAGGTTAAAAATGACATTTGGAATCGAAATTTTGCACGGATTATTTTTAACATAATAAAAATCAAAGTCAATAATAATTTGAATTAAACATTTTTTTTCAGTTTTTAATATTTCTTATATATATAAATACTTATTTTTTACTAATTAGTAATAACCACAAAAAAGAGGCAATAGAAAAAATCGAATTGCAGATTTAAATTAGGCGAAAAATAAGTTTAGAAAAGTATATATTAGTTTCTGATGAAAACTTTTTGCAGATTAGTAAATTTATTCAAAATAACAAAAAATTTTTATTTTGAAAAGTATTACACCAAGCCCTTCAATTTTTATACGCGTTTGTCATAAAAGTAACAACTACTTTATTTTTTATAATTTCTACGTAAAAATTACAATACTAAATTATTAAATATAAATTACATATTATATCTAATTTTTATAATAAGTTTTATTATAATAAATTATAAATTAAATTTATAATAAATTTATTCATATATACTTATAAATCATAAGTCTATTATTCAGGACTCAATTAAGATAGTAGGATTGAAAGTTGCTTTTGGAATAAACCAAAAAATTTCTTCTTAAAATTATAAATTTATAAATTTACATTATTTTTATTCATTTTTTTATTATTTTTGTGATTTTAATTACTGTCAGATATCATCTATACTCATTATACCGCGTCTTCAATGTTTTACATTTTTTAATTAATTTTTTTGTTTTTAACTAGATTGATTTATTAACGATATGTTAAAAGATCATAAATTATTTTTTGTTCAAGATATTACTCTGTATAATTGAATATATTTCTTGTTCCATGTAAATGAAAGAAATCCCCCCCGAAAATTACAATTTTTACAAATACCATGGATATTATTACATTCCTTTAGGTATATATTATATTACTCTATATAACTATAACTAGATATATAACTCTTAATTTGACAATTGATGGGGATTAAAAATTGCTATTTCGCATAAAAAAATAACCTTCTCAATTTTAATATGTTAAAGCGCATGTCATTAATCTAATAAATATTTTGGGTATAGAAAACTCCCTTAAGTTATAATGTAAAGATATATATATATATATATATATATAAATAGCTTATACAACAATTTATAACTTTATAAAGAAAATTGGAGTTTTTCAGTAAATACATAGCAAAGGATATTATATCAAAAATCGTGAAATTGAGGTAGAAATAAATTTAGATGTTTTCTTTTTTATAAATACAATAACATAAGCTTATTATAGTAAAATTAGATAATATTCTTGTTAAACACATAGTAGTGATTGTTAACTGGCATTTTCAACTATACTCAAATAAGAAATCATATAATGTATTTATCAGAATAATTATATTAAAAAATCTAATTAAAATTAGTCAAATTATAACATATAAATAAATGAAATTAATACATTTTTCACAACAATCGTTCTATCTTAAATAAAAAAAAAAAATATTATGTTACATTTACATTTTGTAAAAACTCAAATTATACAAATACTCAGATTATGGCAAAACAGAAAAAATTATTTATAATATAAACAATATATAAACCAATTTGGTTCATCGTGTTATAAATCCATCGTAATTTATTTAATAAATGATCTTAGTTATTTTCAGATGCAATTTTTAATCAATGCGTTCTTTTTTTTCATTTTTAGTGTATGTTTTTTGGTAGAACATAATAAATAAGTATAAGAATAATATTCCATTGGCAATACAATACATAACAAATAGTTTAGGAAAGTTGCAATCAAATAGGTACAAACACGTTTGGTAGGCTATTATTATTAAAAATTGTACCTGTAAAAAATAAATATTTTAATTATTAACTTAATTTATAGATTGATATGTGATTCATTAAGGATAAAACATATATTTTCTTAGAAACTATTAAATATTTTTAATATTTGTAAAGGAAAATATGTTATTATTAATCAGTATACAATAAATAGTAATAAAATAATTTTTTTTTATCGCTTAAAAACCTAAAATTTATTGTGTTTAATGTGAACCCCTTTTTTTTTAGTTTGATGACATGAATCAGTCTCGCACAGTCAGCCTAACAGTACACACGTTTTTTCGGCATTCCCGTGTTATGACTAACGTGTTTATTTTAGTTCTAACTAAATTCTATGCATGTTTTCTTCTTTTTTTTCTCTTCCACCTATATAGTCGTTAAAGAAAACTCAGAATTTCTGCAACGTCTTCCAGTTGTTACTCATCTACCCTTACAGAGGATAGTAATTATAGTAATTTTTTTTTTTTTAATTGTACATCTCGGTCAATAAAATTATATCTACTTTCTATCGTTTCCAAGGTGCCGTCGCACACGGTGACCTTTGGACTTTTGATCAAGATAGTTCCATGTCGACCAACAGGACTCCAAATAAAGATAAAACTGTTTCGCCTATTAAAATTATCAACAATAAAATTGTAAACAAAAATAGCAAAAACATGGATTCTACCCCACAATCTAATAAAAGATTTTTAGCTTCATCACCATCATCGCTGTCGCCATCTGCTGATGTCATCAAAAAAACAAAATTATTCGCTACTCCAAACCGCTAGTATTCTTGTTGATACTATTGATGATGTCGAAAATATTGAGAATGATAACAATAGCAATGATATACACAAGTCTACCCGTCAGGATCACTTGAATACCACCAAACATACACATATGAATGTCAAGTTACCACCTCCTACCTTCATAAAAAGAGTACTAAATTTCTCAGATCTATTCAAAGAGTTTACAAAATTGATGGGCCCAAACACATTTACGTGCAAATCAACATCTACCCATCTAAAGGTTTAAACCGCAAACCCGGATAATTATAGAAAATTAATTCATCTCCTCGAGGAAAATGAAGCTGAGTACCACACATATACAATCAAGTCCCAAATTTTAAGATAAACTCATAGATTATAACAAACTGTACTGTCCTAATAGTGTACGTAAAAACTTGACACGGCACCGCGCTACGCTCTAGGCTGGCGCTTACCCGCGTCTCTATCGATATCAGCCGTACACCTATTAAAATGACAATCGGTGTTTCCCGCCCTTGACACTGTGACAAGGTGATAAATATGTATTACTGATAATGCGTTCTGTTCCGTTTACAACGTTAGCCTTGACTGGTTGTTGCGTTTCTTTTATTGAACTTTCGTTTTATTTTTTCTCGTTTGCGATTCTATTAGTATTATTAACTTATATCGAACTAACGAAGGATATATAAATGCAACCTACTGTGCGAAGTGTAATTTGAATAAATAAATATATATAGACGTATACGTATATATATATTTTCTTGTACTATCATAGTGCCTATTGTGGTGTTAAAACAGCTATATATATATATGAAGAGTGAATGTGTCAAACGTTCTATGTGCCAAAAAAGTGAAAAATTGTTTTATTTCTGATTTATGTTCTATTTGCCAAAGGCCACAATCTTGTATGTGTTTCAAATGTCAATTAAATTTTTTACTTGTACAAAATTGCATTCATAGATGGTGTTCGTTATGTGAGACATGCCCATGTTACCATCGTTTTTTGTGTTTTCTGAACAAATATGTTTTTGGCACATAGAACGTTTGACACATTCACTCTTCATATATTGTGTGGTGCTCAGTGGATTAGTGAATACATGTCAATTGTACCTATTGGATTACGCGTCAAGCTTATATACTTATAATCATGCTGAAATTTTTATATACCCATTAAACATTGATTAATAAAATATACAAAATATATTACAATGCGCACATGCAGAATCATATCCTAATAAAAATTGTGCCAGACATTAAGAGTAATAATCCATGCTTGGAAATGGGGCGTGGGCATGACTATAATTATCATTAAATATTTATCAATCGCACCTTTCCACCACTAAAGTATAAAAATGTTAACTTTTAAAGTACTGATCGAAAAGTTGTTATTGAGCTGTTCTAAATTTTGTTCAAAGGCGATCGTAATAGATTTGTGTATTTAAGTCAAAAGTTAATATTATAACAATATAATACAAAATAATCTTTCCCAATATTATGAAATATTTTAAATTTTATATTTAAAAAAATGGAAATAAATGAAAGTAAATCTATATTTTTAGTTTATTAAAAACAATATTCATAGAGTACGAAAGTTAATTCCAAACGATCGATATTCAATTTTAATTGGTATTATTTATTTGTTACTATATTTATATATCATATATGTAATTATTGGTAGAGCGTATGTAATATTTTACACGATAATAATACTTTAAAGTATACTTAAAACATATAAAAAATATTTAATATATATAACGGAAATTTGTTTATTACAAACCATTTAATTATTTGCGAGTTAAATATAATATTAAATAAATATTCTTGGTTCATAGTCATATAATTCTTAATTTATCATTTATTTTTTTTTTTAGCATCATTACTTATAATTAACAGAGTTAAGAAATTAATTTATTTAATTGGCCCCATAATTTGTAGTATAATATTATTATGCTACTTATAAAATAAGAAATTATCTAGTTAACAAAATAACGGATCGATAAAAATGTATTGATCAGTATTTTAAAATTAATTAATATTTTTATATCCCGGAAAGATAACAGGTGCGGCCGAGAAATATCTCGCACTTCACACTTCACTTCCAGTCTACATTTTAAGATATTAATGATCTCTGAAATAATAGATCAAAAGTTGCGGAAAAATAAGGAGAAATTGTACCAATCATTTTCTTAATTAGATTTCAGCCATTCTCATATCGCATTCAATTACTTCCCTTTATCTCTTTTTTGATCTTCCTCTACCTCATCTTTCTTCAACATTCATTTCCATAACTGTTCTTATAGCTTCCGAATCCTTTTCTCCTCATAACTTAACCAAACCATCATAGCCTATTTTCTCATCTTATCCACGATTAACGTTAGACATACATAAAATTTTAATGACGTCGCTTTCGCAGTCACTGAGTGTTTATTGTCAATTATGATTATCAATAGATATACTTTCTGTATTGCCAGTTAGTGTATTCATAAATTCACAATAATGTGCCTTACCACCATTGATAATAAATACTGTGTACTTGCGAATATCGACGCCATAAAAAACCAATTAACTACCTGTATTTGTAATCCTTTGTTTATTATACATGTATATTAACTCAAAAAATATAAACTTTAAATGTTTACATTTAATAAACTAATCAAGTTATATTAAAAATTCAAATGTCATTTACTGTTAAATTAAAAACTCAAACATTTTATTAAATAAAAAATGTGTTCCCATTTGAAAAAAAAGATAACATCTTTACAAGGCATACGGGATGAACTTAAAAAGCATTACAAAATTAATAATTTAAGATTAATGTGTAACTAAAGATAACCAAAAAATAATAATTTAAATTATTTTTATTCTGTAAGTAATTGAATGAGTTATGATAAAAAAATCACTCTGCATAAGCTACCAGTTAACTCTTCAAATTTTTATTCAAAAATCAGCTACCTGTAATTTTTTTTTTGATAAATTTTTCATTTTTAGTATTATAAAAATATTATAAGAAATATTTTTTAATTAATTGAAATATATATTTCTTTTAATTTGTAAAAAATAATATCACGTTAGCCATGTTTAGAGCAGATTTTAATGCAAAATTTAGATATATTTTACCAAATTTGTTTTTAATTTACTCTAGAAAACTTCTATGTATCCATAAAAACTTTAGGATAAACACTTATTATGTTACAAATATTTTAAGACCTTCGCCACCTCCCTGGTTGCAGGGATTCCTGAGTTCAGATCCCCTCATAGACATAAAATTATATTAGCTAGGCTAGAGAGTCAACTACACTACATTCTAAAAGCTATCTAGACCTACTATACACAATTTCTAATTATGCTCCGGTGTACATTATAATTAAATTTAAGAAAACTTTTTATAGTATACCAAAAATTTAACTTTGTGAAATAACTATTTTCTTTATCGTTAAACACAAATTTTTATTCAAACTTACAATCTGTATTCTAGTTAAATATTTTTTCCACCATAAAAATTTTTGTATTTGAGGTCCTAATGCAGATAAAAAGTAATAACTATACATAATAACATGGACTGTTGCATTTATAAGGCCACATAGAAGCAACTGTTCTCCTGTAAAAAAAAAAAAAAATTAAAAAAAAATTAGAGTTTCCATAAATTTATTTCCCAAGATAAATTTCTATTGAAAATGTTGAATGTTCGTTTCTAATTGTTTTATTCAACTAATAATTGAAAATTTTACATTTTTCAAAAAAAAAATCAAAAAGTAAATATTTATTTAACATATCATTTTTTCAAACATATTCGACGTGCNTTCTCCTGTAAAAAAAAAAAAAAATTAAAAAAAATTTAGAGTTTCCATAAATTTATTTCCCAAGAGAAATTTCTATTGAAAATGTTCATTGTTCGTTTCTAATTGTTTTATTCAACTAATAATTGAAAATTTTACATTGTTCAAAAAAAAAATCAAAAAGTAAATATTTATTTAACATATCATTTTTTCAAACATATTCGACGTGCGTTAGTCACATGTAAATTGGTTTATAAAATCGCTGGTAATTCTCACAATACTATCCCTTTGACTTGTTTTTTACCAAACGTCTGATAAGATGTACTCAGTTTAGTTGTCCCCACTAATTACCCATCCCAACCAAGGAGTATGGATATTAATTACGATTGTCTAACATTCTAATTCATCATAGATGAATAATGCACTTATACGGGCGTACTAATATTTCAATAATAGGCATAAATAGTATAAAAAATGAAATATACAGATGTTTAAAAAGTAAGGAAACAGGTTGTTGTTACAAATAATGAGGACAATAGAAACTCATTTCCTTACTCATTGTATACTAAATGTTTTATTTTAAAAAGAGAAAAATATGGTATTTAATAGCAATCAAACCTTTTATAAGCTTAAGATATGCCCAACATGAGATTACCATGTTACAATGATGATAAATATGCAGAAATGTTACTTGCGATTGTTTTTTTCGTAGAACAAAAAACACCTAGAAAATTTTTATAAAATTAAATACATTATACAAGTTGATTGAATTAATATTAACTACTAGGTTTCTATATTTTGTACAATACTACATTATAATGTGTTTTTTACACCTCTTTTTAACCAAGTATAATAGAAAATAATTGTAATTTTTAAAAAATAAAGGCTTGGGTATGACACGAATCTGATTTATTTTTATAGTTAAACATTTTAAGCCGAAAAGTAAATGATGAAAGTGTAAGACTACATTTTTAAAGCAAATAAAAATAATTTTTTTTAACCAATGATGTATTTTTCTTTAACAAAAAACGACAAGTTTTGTAATACTATACAATTAACGCTAAAATTTCTTTGATTTTATACGTTTTGTTCAGAATAGAATTTATTTAAATAAAAAGTTCAAATTTTTTAATTTCTACAATTTTTTTGTAAATCTATTATTTATGCACTGCACTAAAAAACAATGAAAAATGTATAGTTATCCAAAATAATTGAGGTTTAAAAATTTAGACTTTTATGGATGTGTTAATTTTTTCTGATTTACTTAAAATTTTAGGTATGTCATTTTTATAAGTATTTAAACTAATTTAGATTGTATAATTTCAGAAAAATTTATAAATCATCTTGATTTATTAATCAATTCTATTAAGAATTTTAAAACGTTTTAAATGTCTCATAAGACCAATGTACATTCTAAAATGTTAGGTGTTTAAACACGTTTAGAAAACAGTTTAATCATAGTATGTTTTCAATCTAACAAACTTTGTTTAAGGTATGTTTTTTTAATATTTAGAATTAATTTTTTTTCCAAAATTTCAAAATACACATTTTTAAATTCTTTTCTACAAAAATGTGTGATGGGTCTAAGACTGTTATGTACAATTCAATGTTATGCATTTTCATTACACATTTTTATTTATCAATGAATAATTTATAATCTATTACTATAAATACAATATTTTACTATAGAATTTATAGCTCACAACTTGTACAAAAACAAATAAATACATCGTGTGTCATAATAATTACACTGTTATTATTAATTATTATATAGGTGTTCAGTAAGTTAGGAAAGGGGTTTCTATTGTTAGAAATAATGCGAATAATAAAAATCCGTTTCATTACTTACTAAACACTCTATATGTTTTCTAGTCTCTGATTCAGAAAAAAAACTGACCATGATATTCTTAGGTTAAGCGCCATTTTCAGTACCATATAAAAAGCATTATATCTCACACCCCAAATTTAGTTAGTCTNTAATTTTTTTTCCAAAATTTCAAAATACACATTTTTAAATTCTTTTCTACAAAAATGTGTGATGGGTCTAAGACTGTTATGTACAATTCAATGTTATGCATTTTCATTACACATTTTTATTTATCAATGAATATTTTATAATCTATTACTATAAATACAATATTTTACTATAGAATTTATAGCTCACAACTTGTACAAAAACAAATAAATACATCATGTGTCATAATAATTACACTGTTATTATTAATTATTATATAGGTGTTCAGTAAGTTAGGAAAGGGGTTTCTATTGTTAGAAATAATGCGAATAATAAAAATCCGTTTCATTACTTACTAAACAATCTATATGTTTTTTAGTCTCTGATTCAGAAAAAAAACTGACCATGATATTCTTAGGTTAAGCACCATTTTCAGTACCATATAAAAAGCATTAAATCTCACACCCAAAATTTAGTTAGTTTTTTAATCTTCTTCGAAACTACCTCTTATTTCAAACACCTTTTTAAACTAATCCCAAATTTTATTGAATCACCTGCAAAGCACTTGCGTTAAAACATGATTTATTTTTTATTAAAATTAAATGTATTCCAAAGGCATCGGTATTAACACTTTTAATATAAACTTGAAACCTTAAGGTACTGACAAATACTGCTTAACATTATATCGGAGCAACTATAAAACTTCTATTCATTATATAATTAAAAAACTTTCTTATTAATGATAAATAATAAAAACTGTTTTGTNAATCTTCTTCGAAACTACCTCTTATTTCAAACACCTTTTTAAACTAATCCCAAATTTTATTGAATCACCTGCAAAGCACTTGCGTTAAAACATGATTTATTTTTTATTAAAATTAAATGTATTCCAAAGGCATCGGTATTAACACTTTTAATATAAACTTGAAACCTTAAGGTACTGACAAACACTGCTTAACATTATAAAACTATAAAACTTCTATTCATTATATAATTAAAAAACTTTCTTATTAATGATAAATAATAAAAACTGCTTTTTAAACATAGTCTAAGAAGTTAATAATTATTTTTAACGAAATTTGAACAAATAATAATAGTAGCCAATGTTATAAGGGTTGTCAGTTATATCTGAGATACGCTATATATAATTTTCTAAATTTTCAACAGACTAAGCTTCTTAACCGTAGTTGTTCTTATATACATATTTTTTCAAACATGTTCAGAAAAAACAACAGTTTTAGTCATCAAATTAATAATGGGGTAAGTACTAATAAGATAGTTAAAAATATGATTTTTGAGATTGAAGGATATGTGTTGTTATTGTCAGGATTTCAAAAATCGGCAAAATATTATAGTTACATAATATGTTAGTCATACTGTTTTATTAATACTATTTAAGGCAGTTATATTTGATAAGATACATAGTAAATATATAAGATTTTTAGCTTGAAACATAAAATATTTTTTTTAATTAAATTCATTTTTTAATTTTTTTGACACTCAGTTTAGAAAATTAATTACTTACGGTATCGGTGAGATCCATTAATTTTGATACGAAGAAAAACCACGATGCTTTGTTAAGCTAAAAAAATAAAATACCTCTATTAGAACAAATAATTTGTTAAAAGTAATGCGTAAAATAAGTCATAATTAAAAATTTTTACATGAAAATTAATTTTTAAAAGAAAAAAAGTTTCAATAAAATTAAATGACATTAATGAAATATGTTCTTACAACTACAACTATACTAAAATGATCCGTTTATCAAACCATTTAATTGCATTAGAAATAAAAATAATTTAGAGATTATGAAATTTAGAGATTTATGTGTGTTGCAAAGACGAATGCCATATTTACTATCTTTATAATAAGGTGTTCAAATTTTTTTGGTACTCATCTATGCTTACTATTTCTTAAGATGGATTCTTCTACCTTACTATTTCCAAGCTAGTTTAAATGGACGGTGTTTCTGTGTATACTCGTCCAATCCTACTCCACTCTTCTTAATTTGAGTACTAACATGTATTACTCACCATATTATACATATTATGTATAGTTACATTTAAAAAAATGTCAATTCACATTATTTTTATGAATTTCGGTACAGTATTTATAATTTCGTTGACCTTTAACTCTAAAGACTCGAGATGTTAAGACGACTCCTTCGAACTAACTAGTTTCGAAATGCTGGTTATCGGAAAACAGCCAGAGTTTGAACTGATCGAGTTGTTTCCCGTTCAAAGCAGTATATTTTTGTTCTGTGCGATGCAAATAGCGTTTTTGTTAATTATTATTTTTTTCATAAGTGATTACTAACAATCCTTAAACTCATCAAGGCTAGTAGAGTATTTTTATTATTTAATGTTTTGAGCCAAATTTTTGTTTTGTAAAATGTGCCATAAGCATGTGATGCAATTAAAATCTCTTTTTTATATATTTATTCTTAGGTGCCCCAATTTCGTTTTAGGTACCCCTTATAATATAACTAATGTTTTCAGAAACCACTCGTCATGTTCTTATTATTTCTATGTTTTTTTTTTGTAATATTATTCAGGTCCCCGAGCAATGACGGTCGTGATTCAAAACCGTCACTTTGTTTTATTTTATATATATTTATTTATTATATTATTTTAATAATTAAAATATTATTAAAATAATCAATTATTGATGTCTTGCATATTTTACCAGGGTGTCTCAAAATCTTGTAAGGTAAGTCACTTACTTGCGGGTATACTTGGGGCGTATAAACGCCGTATTTCAGCAATAATTTTGTTATTAATGATCATCTCAATTATTTATTTAATTAATTATATCTTAATTAAAAAAAAATGTAAATGTAATAATATTTTAGTAATGTTATAGATTTATTTTTTATTATCTTTAATTTACAAATTTGGAAAAATTAATTAAATTAGTCTAGAAAAAGTGTTGAATCTAGTAAGGGCCTATATACCAAAAGTAAGATATGATGTAATAGACAAAAAATAGTTTTTAAGAGAGATGGATACGGTGATGCAGGGAATAATTGGTAATGAAGATATGTCGGTAATGAGTGAAAAGGATATGAAAGAGCACATGGAGGGTGTAATTTTAGAAGTAAGTATGAGGCTAGAGAAAGAATCCTCGATTTTGTAGTATCGTATGATTTTGCTGTGGTTAATACTTATTTTAGAAAGAAATAACAACATTATATAACTTATAAAAGTAGGAGTAATAGATCACAGAATGATTAGTTTATGTAAAGAGAGATAGCATAAAGAGAGTAAAAGACTGGCTGGTGGTACTGGAGTAAAACTAAATTCCAGAATTAGACAATATCTAAATCCACTGCACCATAATATGCACCTTAATTTTAAATATAATTGTAAAATATCTTACCTCAAGCAAAAGATTTTTGTTTGAACTTCTTGGTAATGGATGACATAAATAATTAAAATGATGATTAATTGCTCCAGGTGTTGTAAAAAACTGTAAAATAATAATATGTACTTAGACAGAAAAAAAAACGTCAACACAATAAATAAATTTATGGTTAATATATAGACAATAATAATTTCTTGTTAATTAATCATACATTTTTGTTAGATGAATATAAAATTTATGAAATAAATAAATGTTTCATTAAAATCATTATATCATCATTATAATTGATTTAACAGTAAAAACATTGTCAGCTGTATTTTTTCCAGTGTAAATATAAAATAATATAAATAAGAAGATAATAACGACTCAATTGTATAAGTTAGCACCATTTGAAAGGAAAAACTGTGTCTTTTAACTATATGTTAAAAATTAAAAGTTATGATCCTAAAAAGTAGTTATTAGTTGATATATCAAAAATTATATATAACTAAAAGAAATTTAAAATTATTTTTCCAATATTGTATAAATTTGCGAGCAGGTGAGTTATACATAAACCGATCACTCAGTATAAGTTTTAAAAAAATTATCTATGTGCGAATAGCCATCGAAATTGACACAAAAAATTTAATTTTCGTATAAAAATCACTTAATATTGTAATGCTGTTTTGGTATTTAAAACTTTTATAACTTTTTGAAAAATGAAAGAACCAAATTACTTTTTTATAAAAATACGTTACGTCTTTCTCTTTGATTTGATATAATTTTTTTGAACTTTTACATTATGATAATGTATTATGATTGTATTATAATGTATTTTACATGAAAACAGAGGGTAATTTTATTAAGTATTTTTTTCACGAAGATTTAATTTTTTTAACTAAACTTTTGAAAAAGTTCCGGAAATCCTATGTCTTTTAAACATATGTTAAATTAAATCTGTGAATGCAATACCATTTACAAGAGTTATTTACGATCGTTGAGTCCAAAAAATCAGTTTCAGTTAGTCTAAAGATGATGGTGCAATTCGCACAAGTCGCGTAAAATTGCCAACAAAATCGATATAACTACTGAAACAATGACTTGAACGTCAGTAGAAACGACACGCAGAAACAGAATAGCAAAACCATCATCACAATATGCGCGACGAAAATGTTCGCTTTCAAATGAGCCAACACAAGGCCAGATTAGCCAGAATCACCAGAGCAAACGTCAAAAACCGGTGTTGTCCTAAAGATGCTATGGTCCCGCCTCAGCTACTCCAATCTTCCCCTCAACCCAAATGCTGATGACAACAAGGAAAGAAGTCGGAGGACGGAAGGAGCTTTGTGTGGTTTAGAGAAACGAATTGCAATGTGACTTTATTATGAATACAACGTATCATAGGGGAGATTTTCAATCATACCATTATAGTCCAACAAACACTCTAGAACTATATGGCGTTAAGTTTTCAAGGGTGACGAAACATAAATCAAATAAAAAACACAAATTGGATGCAAGATTTTACTTGGTTACGGTGTGTTCGTACAAGTGCAATCGATCGAATACTGACACGAAGTAGGGACATATAGTGGTTAAAACAATGAATTTTTTCGCATAACTAGTTGTGGTAGAGCAAGTGGTGTTTCCAGTCACAACAAAATCTATAAAAATACGCACTCTCGTAACTACATATCTAACAGAATAACTATGTCTCACGCAATATCTGTAAAATAGACTGGTTGATAACATTTGGTATCACTAAAATGTTGTAACCACTAACAAAAACAAGAACAGAGTAAAGAAGTTAAGTTTAACAAGTCCATTTCAAAATATTTCTGAGACTTATTTATGGCCAGTCAGTTGATTTATAGCAACAAAATATAAATGGTTCGAAACAATACCACTAAAATACATTTTAGTATAGCAATAAACATAAAATAAAATTAATTTTTAAAAAACAATGAAAGATTACAAATCAAAATTATATGTATTCTCAAAACAAAACCATTCAATAAAAAAATAGCAGATCATAAATAATAGTATCACTAAAAACTAATACATAATTGTGTTATTACTGTAAAAGACACAAAAATAATCTCTAACTTACTTAATAAGTTTAGTTAGTATACCAGAAAATTAAAAAACGAAAAAGTTAAGTTAAATAATTAAATTTAACATGTAAATATTAATGTATTAATTTCTAGCCTTGAATAATTAAAAAAATATATTAACGTTAACCAACAAATAATACAAATTACCACTAACCAGTGAAACCATATAAGCATTAAAAGCAACTTGAATAATATTGTAGAGCAGCATTGGGTACTTCAAATTAATTGGATTTCGATTTTCCATTATTTTTGGACCAAATTTCAATATGAATATTAAATAAATAATCACAATTGAAAATACTGGTATTGGAGATCTCATGAACATCCAAGAATCGACTTCATCATCTGTAAAAAAAAATTAATTTATATATGCGTTTTAATGTTTGTGTTTTTAATATTATTAAATTAAAATCATAAATTTTATTGCAAAATAATCGAGTTAATTGATATGTAATGTGCACAGAAACTGACAGAAGGTGATTTAACAAGTATTTAATGCATTTGTTGAAACTAGAACTACCATTCATCATCGCTACGCTACGCCAAGTACATCCTTACATTGGATTCATTCATTGGAATTATTTTATCCATTCGTAATACATATCGCCTCANGAAGGTGATTTAACAAGTATTTAATGCATTTGTTGAAACTAGAACTACCATTCATCATCGCTACGCTACGCCAAGTACATCCCTTACATTGGATTCATTCATTGGAATTATTTTATCCATTCGTAATACATATCGCCTCAACGTTTGTTTTGAGTTTTAGTGAGTATTTACTTGCCAACCACTTTCCTACGAGAGCGATTTTATGCTACTTTTAAGCACTTAAAACTTAAAATTAGTAAAATAATTTTAATATGAATAAGAAATTTCTTCTCGCGAGTGGCGACTACAGTGATGGGATACTTGATCTTTATTAAAGTTATTGAATCTAAATGAGATAAAAATCAAAGGCGTTGAAAATTTATTCTAACATAAAAAGCATCAAGAAAAAAATGCAAAAAAATCCCTTGCCATAGGCGGGTTGGAAACTTGTACCCCAAGTGAGTCAAACACAAGTTTTACCAACTCGGCAACCGTACGTCGCTACCGTTCAGCTAAAAAAAATAGCTATTTAAGCTAGTTCAAATTTCAAAGTTATTTTTCTATATTTCAAAAAAGCAAAAAAATTTAAGTAAGTTTAACTTTCTATGCTATATCAATTTTACTTATATAACATTTATGAAAATCTGTGTACTCCCCTTGTCAGGTATTTTAAAATAAAATAAAATTCAAAACCCAGAATTTTAATACAAAAATAGCATATTTTTGAATACGGTAATCATTTTTACCATGAAGACAAATCCAGAGGTCAAATTTTTTTTTTCAAATTAAAGTATATTACAATAGCTTTAATTTAATATATATATAAAAGTGTCAGTCTTTCCGAAACATTTTCAAAAGTTAAGTTGAAAAGTTAATTTTTTGTAAAAAAGTTACCACTTTGAAACCCTTCCTGTGGGCTTATAAAGAGTCAAATTTTCACAAAAATATATAAAATGATAGGTAAATACCTAAAGGTATCTATAAAAAGTATATATATAATCATTCGGTTTTTTTTTAAAAAAGTTATGGCAATTTTAAGTAAAAAAAATTGAAAAAATTGAGGGTAATGTCTTCACTAGATATGATATGTAATCATTAGACATATTGTTCATCAAAATCGGTCTAGCGAGAGCTGAGATTGAGTGTCCACAGACACAAAAAAAAAATAATAATAAAAATAAAAAAACACATCATAGTAAAATTAATACCTTCTCAGCTTCGCATTGAAGCTAAAATTGAAGTTATTTAATATTTTTTTGAAATAATGAGAGTAGAAAAATCATTATTGTTATAAACTATTACACAAGTTGTGTTGATCCAACAAATAGCTGACTACTCGTGCATATCCAAGTCAAATATTTTAATAACATTTAGTTCCGTCGTCGTACTATTTATTGTATAGATTATTATTGCGATTATTTTACTATTCATCTATTTCAATTACAATAAACATCTAATAAATATTAAGAACTGAATTTGTTTCTTAAATTTTTCCCGCTAAGTTTAAGAACTAAAAAACGACACTTAAGGTTAATTACTTTCAACAATAGTGCAACAAGTAATCTGTGACAGCGGAACAAACCAAGATCACAAAAAAATTGGTGTGGGATTAATCCATAAATCCTGTGATGAGACGGATCTACGGGTTGAGCCGAGAAGGGATTACCATTCAAACTGGACATGATAGTCTCGGGACGCGACTAAATCTAACCAACCTCCAACAACTTTCATTCAACACCATCACGATGAAGATATCGAAAATGTGAATGGAGCCATAAAAAACAATAATAATAAATAAAAAAACATATATACTTACATTGTTTACTTATATATTTAAATAGCCGTTTAAAAAATAATATAAAAATATATTATTTCTATGTTGAATCANTTAAATAGCCGTTTAAAAAATAATATAAAAATATATTATTTCTATGTTGAATCATGTTAAATATTAATTGTTAATTCATTACTAATATTTATTTTGACTATTACAATAATATAACTAAGTCATAACAGATTATCACGTTGCCTATTAGATATTGTGGTGATTATTTAAAAGAAAAAATAGGATCCTGATTTTAACTTTTTATATTAGATACTGTCACAGTAAAGTAATTTTAGTTATAATTTAAAAGTAGGTGTACAAAAAATAAAATAAAATATATTTATATGTATATATACATATAAATAATATTAATTGTTATAGATACTAAACTATAACACATAATACCATATATATTAAAATTGTAATCTGTCTATAATAATCAATGCATGTGTAAGCGATAAGTAAAATTATTATTATATTTTTTTCTCTAAAAAAAAAATTTAATTTACGTGCAATAATTATGCTAAGCTAATGAAAAAAAAAACGAAAGCATTGTGGGGTCGCGGCACAGTGTGGACGTAGCATAGTTGAGTCAAGTATAGATGATATCTGACAGTAATTAAAATCAATATCAAAAGAAACGCTTTGATGTAAATCTGTAGATAGTGTTTAATTTTAAGGAATTGGTGGATTTATTTTGGTATACCAAAAGCAAAATGAATTCTTATTTCCTTCATATTTCTGATTATTAGTTCTTTGATTTATAAGTATAATCAATTATACTTTATATAGTATAATATTATATCAATTATATTTATTCATAATATATGAATAAATAATTATTATAACAATTAAGTATAATATGAAATTGATATTTAATAATTAATGTTATAATTTTTATGGAGAATTTATAAAAAAATATGAAGTAGTTATTACTTTTAAGGCAAACTTGTATAAAAATTGAAAGGCTTGATACAAAATTTTTCTGANGTCAGATTAAATCTATACTGGACCCAACTATGCAACATCCCCACTATGCCGCGACCCCACTGTGCTGGGTTTTTTTTTATTATGAAATTAATGTGTTCACAAGGAATTTTAATCAGATTTAAAAATATACTTTTATTGTTCAATTTTTCGTGCTAATAAACAGCTGCCTCTATTTTAAAATTGTGTACAGATTATTTTGATTTAATAATTTATTCTATTTGATCAGTTTTCATAATGTAAATAGTTTCGAAATTTTTCATCATAGCTATATTCCACCAAAAAAAGATAAAATCTGAAAAATTGTTACATTTCTTAATTTTTGTACTAGCTTTAACTAGAATTAATAATTAAAATTTTTTAATTTATATGATGTTATAAGAAAAATAGTTAATAAAATTTTATTTTCTCGACATTTCCAATGCCCGTCAAAAATATTCATTCACACTAAGTATATAAACTGTTTATATTTTTGTTTTTAAATAAATAATAGATTAAAAAGTTAGTCCAACTTTAAATCTGAATTTATTATCATATTAATCCAATCTTTAGAACAATTTATTGAATACCATAATTAAAAANTTTTTAAATAAATAATAGATTAAAAAGTTAGTCCAACTTTAAATCTAAATTTATTATCATATTAATCCAATCTTTAGAACAATTTATTGAATACCATAATTAAAAAAATTCCTAGTTTGATTTTCATTAATGTATTTAATAATAATTAAAATACTCACCCCATACTAATTCTTTCTGCAACAGATCAATAAATGTATGACTAACGTCTGTTGTGAAATTCATTTTTAATCCTCCATCAGCATTCATCACGTATATTTTATTTACCTAGTTTATAATCAAAAAATCATTTATATTCATTAATAATTCTTGTAAATAGTATACTTAAATATAAAATTATTATATTTCTATACTTAGGTTAAAAAAACAAAACATAAAATTTCAATATTATTCCAGAGTAAAAAAGTTTTTAAACTAAAAAAAAGAGCGTGGAATAGATAGGAAAAATAAAGATGATACATGATATTATTTAAAATCACTATCATTAGAAACGCTTCGATGCAAATCTGTAAATAGTGTTTAATCTTAAGATATTGGTGAATTATTCAAAAGCAAAATAAACTTCTATTTCCTTCATTGTTCCCAATGAGTGGTTATACGATATATTAGTATAATATATGATTAAATATCTATTAGAGCAATTAAATATAGTATGAAATTGATACTTAATAATTTAGTATTGTAATTTTTACGGAGAAATTATAAAAAATGATAAAGTAGTTGTTACTTTTATGGCAGACGTGTATAAAAATTGAAAAGCTTAATACAAATCTTTTCAGAATGTAATTTGTTATTAATTATGAATAAATAGTCAACAAGAAATTTTCAACAAAGTCAAAAATTTTTTTTTCTCAAACAATATTTCGCGCTGATTTCAAAGTCATAATTTAATTTAATTCATCATCAGTAATTTTTTATATTTTTACTAATTACCTCAAAAGAGTATTACATATATAAAAAAAATAAGGGAAATTTTTTCAATTTTTAAGGGTAATGTCTTCAACTAGACACGATTTGTGACCTTTTAACGTATCGTTGAAAGAAATCGGTCCGGTGAGAGCTGAGAAATAGTGGCAAGAGACACAAAAGAAACACGTCATAGTAATATTAATAGCTTCTAAGCTTCGCATCGAAGATAATACAAATTAATTTGTTTTTCAATAGCGAGCAAGCTATAATCTGTTTCAATTAGCCATAAATTATTTTTATGGGCAATAAAAATGTGTAAATACGGAGTTATCACAAAAAATTTCCAAAAAAAATGTTACCATATAATTATATGATAATATTTTATTTATTATAAGTAATATTCAATTAAATTAAATGTGCAATTATGTATAATTATACAATTATATATAATATTAAAAAATTACAACAAAATAATAAATAAAATATTAACATCTATATGGTATTTCTTTTTAATGTGTGTATGTCTATTAATACATAAATTATTACAGATAAAATATCTGTAAGATGAATTATATCGAATTGTACTTGTAACAAATAATGACTACTGTATGCTGAACAGAAAATTATCAATAGAAAGCTGGTAGAAAATCACTAAACTTAAACAAGCAATAATAGAGATATGGTTTATTAGGTAAAAAAACTTAGAAGGGCAAAATTATTTAAAATTTTATTTTTGATATCATGTTATCAAACAAAAAATAGAAGTTCGAATAAAAAAAATTAATTTTTAGATATTTTATCCCTGAAGGGGTGAAAAAAATTATTTAACTATATTGTAGAGTTTTTTGAATCAAATAATATTCACCTTTACGAAAATTTAAAATGTTTAATAGTTTCTAAGAAAAAAAATGTATAAGGCCTTTATCTATAAGGTGGTACTTAAATAAGAAACGATGTTAGATAGCCATCAATTAGTTCTAAATAGTTTTAAAAAATAACTAAAATTTAAACATTATTATTTCAAAAAAAATTAATTACACTAAAGATATATAAGAGCGGTCAATATTGATGTTTGAATGTATTGTGACATATATATTGACATTATGAAAACTCTTACGCTAAATGTGGAACTATGAGCAGAAAGGGATTAGAGACACAGCAGAGGGATTTCAAACTAACTTCTCAAAACGAAATCATGGCATTGATAAGTATTCTTTTATAACTTTTTATCTAAAAAGGTAATCACGCATAGCTGAGCACTGACTATCAGATGGTACAGACCTAGTCATTCTACGAGTCAATTTCAGCTATAAGCGGTTCTTTTGCTCAGATCACTTCACTTATATAATATAACTGATAGGAAATATCGTAGGAAAACTGATAAACTAGCTGCAGTTCAAGAATTTCAATCAGACTTTGCTAAAAATTATCAAAATTCCACATTCTAAAAGCATATTACTATTTATATAGGTCACGTAAAAATTATCGGACAAATAGGGAAAAATGCCCTAAGAATGTTTGCAAAAATCATTGTCCATCAAGGACAGAATACAATAATGTTTTGAAAATGAGAATTCGTCATCATGAAAACTGAATTTTTGACATAATCGTGTTTTATTTATAAGCACATAGATAGAGTTTAAAAGTTTTTTACCTAGTTTATTCCTTGGGCAGGAAGTTTGTTTGATAATTATTTTTCTTGAATTTATGTGATAAGGATTATCAAAATTAATTTTATACTTTGTTTTTATGTTTTATTTTTGTATACAGAGTGTTTAGTAAATAAGTAATAAAGTCCATTATTACAAACACTGAGAACAATAAAAACTCGTTTTCTTACTTACTAAACACACTACATACTATCCATCATAAAAATAAAAAATATGGGTTTGATATAATTACAAATTAAAGTTTTTAAAACTTCGTCAAAGACTTAGGGTTCAAAATAACTGTTCAAAAATATGAAAATCAAAGTTAAAATATCACATATATAACTGGATTATAAAAATAGACATGTTTAACCATTCATAAATATTATTTTAAGCTTGAATAATGTCATCAATGACATTTACAAGTACATAAATTTATGTTCTAGCAAAATAATCTACATTTATGTAAAAAATAAACTTGCAAAAACAAAAATTAAGAGCGCTTTTATTCACTTTATTAGCATCTTTTGTTACACTGCGCATGTATCAATAACACAAAAATGTATCATATAACAAAGAAAAATTACAAACGACCATTAAAGTATACTCTTAATTATTATTTTAATCAGCTTTGAATGTAAGGCGTATACATATTATGTATATATTAATTTAAAAAAACCAAAATAGTAAAATTTAAAAAAATTAAATAAGTTATAAAAAAGTACCGATGAATTTAAAGTTAATTTTTTTTTTTAATTAGCTAATCATGTATATAATTAGAAAATTAGAAAAATTAGGTACAAAAACCTAATGGTTTTACAAGTAACATACTCTCCTTTTAAAAATAATAGTAAAACGTTAAATTTTTTTATTTCACAGAATTGCATAAAAACTATTTACAAGGAAATTAGGTAAAAGGAAAGCTTATATAACTTAGATAAAGTTATTAGTGTAATGTTCCTAAACAAAAAGAAATTTAGAATAAACTAATTTACTAAATTTAAACAATATCATTAAACATTGAAACAGATCAAATATACAAATAATTTTTAACAATTATTAAATTGAAGGAGGAGTATCTTATTTTGTTTGAGGATAAATTAGATATCATTATTTGGAATCTTAATTATATAACTTATTCAGTTAAAAATGTTTAAAATCATTTAAAAATTATTAGCTTTATAGAAAAAATAATTAACAATTTAAAAAGAATTAATCTAGCAGCTTTAAATTTACCTAATTTTTTTAAAAATTATTTTCAGATTAATTTAAATTGAAAATGTTATGTACAATAATTCTATTCTTAAATATGCCTCTTTTTTATTTTATTTTTCAAAAATTAAAAAACTTACTTAAAAACTCTTAAAACAATTTGATATATTTTTATCACTAATAAAAATTATAATTAGAAAAATTGTTTGAAATACAATGATTTGAAAAAAAATGATAGAATCTAAAACATACACACCGTTTCTTCTTGAAAACTGTAAATGATACAATAATGTTCGATAAGATTAATTTTAAGTAACAACGCAACAGAATTCTGGAAATTCGAGGTGAACGACAAGTGCAAAAATAATTTAAGAAATAAATTTTATTTTCGATTAATATGCATGATTGTCCCCAAGAATATAAATTGTCCTTCTCTTGACTTTTTATTTTATTAATTTTTACTATAGTTGTGTATTATATAATTTTGCAAAATAATATTTATTTTAATTACAAATTGATAAAATTGTATTTGTATTAAATTATATTATAAATTAAAGATACTTCAACACTGGGTTTGTTGAGCGGACAGTAAAACCAAATATTAAAAAAAAAATTTTCTCCCTAATAAAAAATATCTGTGGACGCCCTTGTTTAAAGAATTTTATTTTAAATTCTATTGTTTAAGCATCTGACTTAAATCGTTTGAGTAATGGTAATTGAACTGAAATATCAATTGCAATTTTAGTATCATACTTAATATATACTTTGTATTACTGATAATACATGTTTTTTTTTAAACATTATTAATCCCATAATAATTTTATTTTGTTTTTTAAATAACTACTACCAAGCTTGTCTTTATTATTAAAATAAGAGAATTTTTTATCGATCTGTTAAGTTTTAATATTTTTTACAGACTTTTAATTCTGAGAATTATACATGTAACACAACAAAAAATTATTACTTTATATATATTCAAAGATTTTTTTTTAAAACTGTATATACTTGGAGTCTGTTAAAAAGGGGATGAGGAATAGTTGAAATCTACATAGATTAAAATCAATACCATATAACACTGGATATGAAAAGTACATGATAATAGTTTTTACAAGAGATGATTATAAAATTACCCCCTGCGCTTCTACTATAAACCATTTCATGAATAAAATAATATAAAACATATTTTATGATATAGAAATATGAAACTTTTTTAAAATGAACTAATAAACGACTATTTTTTTCTACTTAAAGTATATTTTATAATTTTAAAATATAAATATTAATTTATATCTAAAAAATATTAACTTAAAAAGCCATAAAACATATACCATATTTGTTTAACGCAGATCATTGTAACAAAAATCTCGAATTACAATTTTTTAGTGATTTTTGTAGCTTTTAAATTAAATATTATTAATATTTTTTAGTTTTAAATTAATATTTTAAATATATTTTTAATTTTAAATAACATTAGCTACAAATAATCAACTCTTACTAAATATTAAATGATTTTAAGTTTCATAAAGATAAATAAGTATTAAAAAACTAATTAAAAAATAAATTTTATTTGAAATATTACCAGTAACTATTCTGTGTTATTCTTTCTACTATTTAAAATGTTATAGTAAAATTAAAAATCCCAAATTATTTTTTAAAAATGATAAATGTTTTTTTTTTAATTCGCTATTTGATTATTAATAAAAACAAAAAGTTTTTAGAACATTTTTCTTATAAATATAAGTTTTCATTATGTAACATTTTAAAGGATTCAGGTTGTCTGAAGCATTATTAACCCTTTACAGGCAAGGATAAAATCTTACTACAAGAGACAAGGCGGGTCACGAGTGACCAAATAGATTTTTATTCACTTTTATCATTATTTAACATCTTTTTTTAATTTATAAATGTTTGTTCATAGATAAAAATGTATTTTTATGCATGAAAGGTAAATTTAAATGTATATTAAAACATGCTCCGGTCAAGGATGACCCAACCTTGCCTGTTAAAGGTTAACAATTTAGATTTAAAATCATAAGCAATTAGCAAAAAATTAATAATTGAGTTAATACCAGTAAAATTTGTCCCACCCCCAATATCATGTAAAACAGGCCAAGTGCCTTAGTAGGAAATGAAGAAAAATAAACGGTAAAATAATAACGAAAAACGTAAAATATCTTTTTAACCAAAAAAAATAATACTAAATAAATAAAGGGAAAAGTAAAGGAACCAAATACAGCATTTTTTTATAAGTAGTTATAAGCTATTTATAGTTTCATATTTTAATTAAAATGTATTTTACAATTTTTATAAATTTCAAAAATATTAATATTTATCAAATAGCAAATTATTGATTTTATATTCTTAACTATCTTAAAAAATAATAACATAATAATGGATAATGTTATGTCATAATAATATCATAACGATACATTCCTATTAACAATATTCCACTATTAGATACATATGTAAATAAAAAAATGAAAACTTGAAATCAATATCGGGCCATCTGTCAATAAATGGTATATTAAATTAATCACAGAAAATTGTTCAAAGCGACAAGCCCAATAAAATATTAAACTATTTTTTGATAGATTTGAAACTAATCGATTTTCATTAACATTTTTAATGAAAATAAATAGTATTATTTTAGTTTTCATGCATGTTTTACCTTTAAAGGAATACATAAATAATCACAAATGTATTTTGTTTATTTCAATGTTCATAGTTTTTTTCTACAATTTTATTCTATATTAAATGTAATTATGAAATTAATCAAAGAAAATGTGCAAAAAAAAATAAAATAAAATATAAATAAAAATATTTTCTTTGGAGAAAAACAGTACCTATCTTAGAGATTAGTTCCAAATGTAAGTTCCACTGTCACAGTATTTCACATAAAATGCTTATTTAATGACATTAAGACTTGAAGACTAATGTAAGCAAAATTCTTATTTAATCAATTTAATAACTATAATTATTAAAAATAATTATTTTTCTGGTAAAAATAAGTTGTCATCATGGTCAGTTTAATAATCCAAAGGACAGCAGACGGGAGCAAACAATTCGCTTACTACTTTACAGCAAGTTAACTATTTTTATGATTTTAAAAAATCAGCACATATTTACATCAATAAAGGAAATTTTCAAGTTTCAAAATGCTATTGGCTTAAAAAAAAAATTAAGAAGGTGTAAGAGTCAACATAACAAAAAATATATATTTACCATTCTCAGGTTGTGAAAATAAAATATCAGTTGAAAAGAAAAAGGATCTTTGAAAAATGTTACCGTTTCTAAAAAGAGAACATAAACACTTTTTTGTATAAATAATTAAGTTAATAAATATGATGTCTAACCTAAATTTTTTATCACTTGATTAATCTAATATTAAACAATTTTTCTTGATTGAGTAATATATAAGATTTCATTATTAATAAACAATGTTGACAAAATTAATAAAATTTTGATTTTATTTCATTGGCATACATCATGTTTTTACCGATTAATACTGCATCGACTTAATATGCTCTGGAAATTTCTTAATATTGGAGTTTTTTGTCTAACTAAAGGTACAAGGTGAATATTTCTTTTCAATAGTAGTACTAAATTAAATCTATTAAAGAGTCTCACATTTTTAAAGATATATATTTTATCATTTTCTTCGGATTTAAAAACAAAATTAATATCTCAAAGTAAACTTTTTGACACTTAGTCCGTCATTATTTTCAAATCTTCAAATGTAAAATATATTTTCAAAAAATATAATAAAATAAAACACTATTATTATATGTAATATTAAATTATTAAAATATACATGTATTAAATTTTAACATTGAAATTTGTTCTTTATGATTTTCAAATACTTACACCCATGAATAGCGGACAAAAATTAGGTAACCGAGAGTGATTTTATGCTCTTAAGGTCGATTCACACTATACGGAACGTCAACGTCATGTCACAGATCGACAACGTCACGTCAAAATATATTAAACCATATATACCTATATATAATATACATAAACCATATATGTATATCGTATTGTTCACATAACCGGCCAAGTTACGTAACGTCAACATCATGTAAATACATAGTTAAATATTTTGACGTGACGTTTCTGATCCGTGTACCGTGACGTTGACATTCCGTATAGTGTGAATCGACCTTTAAACACATTTTTTAAATGTATTTATTTATATATATAATTATATTTTTTCTTTAAATACTTCTGAAGAAAGGTAATTGTATTAAGTATTACGAACAACTAAATTATAATCAATTTTTCAAAAAGTTATTTTAGGAAGACAAGATTAATATTTTTTTGTAATTTATGAATTAAAGAACTGCTTTTATATGTTGATAGTTAACTGATTATAAAATATGATATTTTAAATCAAATGATGGCATAGTACATTTGTACGAGTGTTTGGAATTACCAAATTCATTCACAGTGGACTTAAATCTATATTTAGCCAACAAGCCTACTATTTAATCATTTATTTTTTTTTTTTTTAGCGATTATCTTTAATACGTATTGTATTATTCATAATAGAGGCAATTAAAAGGCAAAGTTTTATTCTATTTTTTGTATCATTTCTTGTAAGTAGTAGCTACCTGACTTGCGCCTAAAGTATACGGTTGGTATGTATTTAATGTGATTTTTATTTTTACGCTCTCTTGACGTTGTTACATATCAAGTAGAAAATGTTCTTGCATTTATCAGTACAGGAAGTCATTGGGATTTTATTCTATTATCACCTTCAAATAAATAAAAAATCACATCAGATAAATAACATATAAACTAATATTAATCATGAGTACAAATAAATTATGGAACACATAGCAGTCAATTTTAACATCCGTATATAGATGTCTTACTTTGCGTTACGTGTTATATTGATGTATAATGTATGCAGATTCAAGGACACTTGAATCTAGTTATACTAACGATATTAAAATATCATTAATTCAATTAATTAGATAAATTTTATTTAGATTCTAAAAATTTTACCTTCGGATATTGCACTATATAGGTATTTAAACAATATTGTTACCAACTATATTAACATATATTTAATATATTTAAATTCACTAAAAAAATAATGATGAATATCAATATTTTATTAATTATTAAAAATTCATCTTCTTCTACTTCTTCTTCCTTGCCTTAATCCCAACTACTTGGGGTCGGCCACTCTTATCCTAAACTTCCACTTGACACGATCTCCCACATCCTCTACGCTCACATCAGTTGTCCTCAAATCGCATTCAATAACATCTCTCCGTCTC